GGGGGTAAGGGCGGACGTGGACAGGCGGGGACAGAGACAAAGCAACGTTGAGGGGAGAGGAAGAGGGAGGAGTGATGGGGAAGAGGGGAGGGGGAAGATTAAGATGAAGATAGGGGAAACAGGAAAGGAGAGAGGTAAAGGGGGAGGGAAAGGTAGGAAATTGGAAGAAAAGACGGGGGGAAGGAGTGGAGGAGGAAGAGAGCAGAGAAGGAGAAAATGGAGGGTGAAGGGAGGATAGTAAGAGAGTAGGGAGGGATGAAGAGGGAGGCAAAGGAGAACGGAAAGGAGGTGGGAAGAAGAAGAAGGAGGAGGTGGAAGAGGAGAGAAGAGACCCATAGCCACAAGGGATTGGAGGCCGTCCAGAAACTTCATGAGATTCATTTTTCTCCTTTTGTTTTATAGAAAATCAGTCGAGACAGTAGTTCCTGTACTCTTTTTCTTATCCCCGGTTCCTTTTCTTCCTTGTCCTCCTCATTCCTCCATTTCCAGTGAGTTATCACTTGGCTAGAACGAGGACAAGGACGCTGAAGGGGCGGCGGTCTTGACGGCGTTGTGATGGCACAGACGGCGGCCTGCGAGTGGTGAAGGGCGAGGAAGAGACGAGTGAGTAAATGGCGAGTGAGAGAAGAGTGAGTGAGTGAGTGAGTGGCGAGGGGCGAGGAAGAGACGAGTTGAGTGAGTGGAGAGGCCGCGTGGTGAGGCCAGCGTGAGGGCAGACAGCAGAAGGTCAGGTGGTGGTGAGGGAACCCGCCCGTCAGCGCTCTTTCGCAGGAGGTGCTCGCCATACGTCACTGACTCCTGCGTGTTGCGTGTCAAGGGCTAGGGGTATTTGGTGAACGAACTGATAGATAGATAGATAGATAAAACTCGTGTCTGCAGGGGGGTATTTTGGGTATAATATACTCATTTTAGTTTTTTTCTGTTTTTGTATTTGTAATTGGTAAGCGTGACATTATTTTGACAAGGTGTGGTAATCTTATCACGTGTTTTGTATTTCTTTTAAGAATTGTCTCGAAACGGTTGTCTTCAACTTCAGTTCGATTATTATTGAGATGTCATATGGTTGAACAATATATATATTTCCCAGATAATTACCACCACTTTATGGATAACAATGAGTTAAACGGAATATGAAACCAAAGAATTAACTACCACCCCCCTCCCCCGGGTTTTAGGTATCCCAGCCTGTCGTAAAAGACGATTAACCGAGGACGCCGCCATAGGATTAAAAAATTGCCTACACCAGCTCTATACACCAATCAGAAAACAACAATATATACAGGTATTTGAATACATTTGATTTACTGAAATTAGGCACGGCTGTCAAAATTTCTTGCAAATGTGAAAATCACTTTTTAATAAATTGATGTATTGTGAGAACTGGTTAAAATGCATAATTCTATCACACTGCAGTATAATCTACATTATAATGATAATTTGATTTTAAAGGATTAGTTTCCCGCATTAGAACACTTTACTACAGATAACTCAAGTAATTCAAAGTAGTGACATTTACATAACACTCTGAATTTCAGGAATATTTTTTTTTCGGATCTGATATTATTGTTGCGCTTGCATCCCAGTACAGAGGTCTTCGAACTGTACCACGGTTGATGTTAGGAAGGAACCTACCATACTCGCCAAATGAATAAATTATTTCCTTAGATTAACAATAAATAAATACACTATGCCTCTTGTATTATTCGGTGGAATTTTTTTTTAGGCCGAAAATATTTCCACTATCTGGAGAACAGCGGGCTGGTGGTTATTTCGTACCCCTGACAAGCATTACGTGCAGCTGGGGAAGATTCATGTAATTTCCGAGGTCTGTTGTTATAGTTTCGTTTATCGTTGAGGGTTTTTTTTAGGGGGGGGAGAGGCTGAGGGAGGATTTTGCGTTAGGAGAAAAGAACTTTTTTTTCCCTGTGTAAGAAAATTATATCTTGAAACCAGTTTTGTATCTGAATTGTTCTATATTATCGCTCTCTCTCTCTCTCTCTCTCTCTCTCTCTCTCTCTCTCTCTCTCTCTCTCTCTCTCTCTCTCTCCTCTCTCTCTCTCTCTCTCTCTCTCCTCTCTCTCTCTCTCTCTCTCTCTCTCTCTCTCTTCTCTCTCTCTCTCTTATCTCTCTCTCTCTCTCTCTCTCTCTCTTCTCTCCTCTCTCTCTCTCTCTCTCTCTCTCCCTCCCTCTCTCTCTCTCCCTCCCTCCCTCTCTCTCTCTCTCTCTCTCCTTCTTCTCCCTCCTCTCCCCTTCTCCCTCTCTCTCTCTCCTTCTCTCTCTCTCTCTCTTATATATATTATATTGATTTATTTTACCACATGTTGCTGCTGTTGTATATATTCCAATGTTCTATTGTAAGCTTAATATATCATATGTATTACAAGCGTGAGAGAGAAGGAACGAAACTGTATAAGTAATATACAGAGAAAAAATATACACTTATAGAAATAAAGGGAAAGAAAAGGTAGCAAAAGAGAGATAAACAAACAAAGAGAAAGACAACCGAATGCGAAACATAACCTGCAGTTAAATATAACGAGAGAGAGAGAGAGAGACAGTGAGAAGAGAACGAGAAATGAGAGAAAAAGAAAGTGAAAAGAGAACGAGAGAGAGAGAGAAAGTGAGAAGAGAACAAAAGAGAGAGAGAGAGAAGAAAATGAGATAAAAAAGAAAGTGAGACGAAAAAAAGTGAAAACGAGAAAAAGAAGAGAAAGAGAGAGAGAAAAAAAGATTAGTGGTGTCGGCACGCGAGGGAGGCTTGTGTCCTCCTCAAGATGCAAAGTGGCTATTTGTCAGTTGTGCTTTAGCCCTGTTCTTCCTGCAACAGTGCAATGGCGGCGGGGTGGGAGGGGAGGGGGAGGGGGTCAAAGGAAGTGAATGGGAAGGTTGGGAGGGGGTGGAGGAGGTGAGTGGAAAGGTGGGGGTGGGTAGGGGTGCGGGTGGGGAGGGGGATGTGAGCGGGGAGGAGGAGGTGAGGGGGGGGATGTATAAGATGGGGGGGGGAGATAAATTGGGTGCGGAGGTGGGGGGTAGAGGAGGTGATTGGAGAGGTAGGGATTTAGGAGGTAAGTGGGGAGATTGGAGAATGGGTGAGTTGGGTGAGGAGGTGGTATAACGTGAGTGGGGGGGGAGGGGTGTAAGTGATCAAGGCAAGGGGAGGTGTGGGGGGACGTGTGGTTTTAGAGGGGGGAGGGGGGGGATAAGGTGTGGGTAAAGTGGGTAAGAAGGTGAAGTGGGATGGAGGAAGGATGGATGTTCTAGGCGTGGGAGAAAGTAATGTTTAGTGAACCCGCGGAGAGAAAAGAAATTGGTCTTGATTATTTAACTCCTTCATATCTTAACCGAAAACCCATTTATTTGAGTTAAAAAAAAATCAAATGTAACATCGAAAAAAAAAATCAAATGTAACATCGAAAAAAAAATCATATTGTATCTTCTTTAGTGGTTATAGACTTCATGCATGAGGCTATAGATTACTTTATGATATATGTGCAGTTAACTCTGGATTTGCATTGGGTAATGGTTAAGAGGTTAGTCATATATGCAATAAGTGTTCAATTGCTAAAAGGATTATACACGCAATCGCAGCTTTTTGTGTAGATACCCGGCATTTAACGTAATTATATATAAGACGAATGAACGATAGATCTCGCCCGTGGTGTGGTTTTTATTCAGCAATGTAATAAGATGAAATGTAAATTTTATCTTTTTGTTGGTCCGCTGAACTAAATTGGCATTCACGTTTATGTATGTGCATGTGTTCGGCCCGGTCGTGATCCACGCTTTTCTTCTGAAGGCGTTTAGTCGTGTGTGTTTCTATGCTGTAGATACATAGATGCACACGCAGCACTCTGATGTGTATGCGTGACTGAAGGTATGTATGTGTATGTATATGTGTGTATGCATATGTGTATATATACATATGTATACTTATATATTTATATATATACGTATATATATACATATATATTTATACATATATACATATATACATATATATATGTGTATATATATATATATATATACATATATATATATATATATATATATATATATATATATATATATATATATATATATATATATATATGTATATATATATATATATATATATATATATATATATATATATATATATATATATATATATATATATATATATATATTACACACGCACACGCGTATTTGTATTTATACCTGTTGGCATTTCATGAAAATATATATTCAGACAAACGTGGATCCACAGCAAAGGCGAATACATGTGCACGCCTTTCCGTAAATGTAAATTTCGTTGAACAGGCCAGCGAAAAATGTTTTTAAATTTCATTTTATCACAGCTGTGAATAAAATCACTGTACTTGTGAGTTTTTCAGTCAGTTTAATTCCCATGATTTTGAGTTGTGTCAAGTTTCGTGCTACATACTTATACATGCAATGTATGTATGCATCTATGTATGTGTACATATATACATATATTGATATATACAAATATACAAACACACATATACGTATATGTACATGTGCATATGTGCATCTATGTAAATATGTATATGTATATGTATGCATATAAGAGCGTATGTATATATATATATATATATATATATATATATATATATATATATATATATATATGTGTGTGTGTGTGTGTGTGTGTGTGTGTGTGTGTGTGTGTGTGTGTGTGTGTGTGTGTGTGTGTGTGTGTGTGTGTGTGCGTGTGTGTGTGTGTATGTATATACATATACGTGTGTATGCATGTGAGAGTATTTGATTGAATGTGCCTCGTCTAGAGAAAGGCAGGCAGACAAAGACGAATCTCAAGACACGCGATACATGACGTAGCATCTCTCCCCCGCCCCCGAAACGAGCAACGATTAACTCCACCGCCCCGGAGTACGGAGTAATCCACCTCTCCTGTCGGCTCGAAGCTGCGGGTGTTCGAGGGTCACTCACCCGCCATGACGAGTGGGAACCCAGAGCCGCAGGTGGGAGTGAAAAGAATCTCTGGGTTAGTTTTTTTTTATCGTGTGGTTTTCCCTCATTCTTGAATTCACTCGTTTCTTTTCCTCAGTCATTCATTCATTCGTTCAATCTCTCATTCCCTCATTCTCTTATTCACTCCCTCCCTTATTCCCTCACTCACTCATTCCATCATTCATTAACTTCCTCACCTCATTCCCTCACTCTCCCACTGCCCCATTTCCTCTCCCCCACTTCCTCATTCCCCCATTCCCTCTCTCTCCCACTCCCTCATTCCTTCATTCCTCCTCTCCTTCACTCCTGCGCTCTCTGACTCCCCCACTCCCTCATTTCCTCACTCCCTCACCGGCTCTCTCTGGCGATTGTGGCTCCAGATGATAACACAAGAGATATCACTCACTCTCTCACTCGCTCGCTCATTGACTCGCTTTCCTCATGACTCGCTTCGAAACTGGGCCGAGAGAGGGGGAGGGGGGGTTCTTGTTAGCATTGCTGGTGTTGTGATTTGGTGTTATTTTTGTTGGTAATTTAGTATTTGTTATTATTTATATTACTGTTATTGTTATACTTATTATGGTTATTATTGTTATTGTTATTATCATTATCGGTATTATTATTGCTGTTGTTATTTTTATGGTCGTTATTAATTAAAATCGTCTTTCTTCACTGCAGTTCTTTCTGTACATATCATTGCCTTTTTAATCGATTCTTCACTAATCCATTCGCCTGTTTATTAATTTTAATTGCTCCAAAAGTGCCATTCACTCGCAGAGAAAACCGCACTCTCATGCTCCCCAAAGCACCAGCCCATAAAGCCTTGTTTACAAAAATCAGGTCACGACGCCAAAAACAGGTCAAGTCGCGAGGTGCAACTCCCCCGCCAGGTCAGCTTCTCTCGTTCGACCTCCAGACTCGAGAGAAGACGCTCTGACGCTGTTTACCAAGACCTTTCTTCTGACCTCGAAAATAAGTCACGCATCCAGACACTACGGTGGCGAGGACTAGGTCACGCCCGTAAGCCAGGTCATGCGGCCGGGACTAGGTCATGCCGTCACTACCGGTTCTGGGGAAGAATATCACGTATGCAGTGTTAAGGTCGACGGGTCGCTTCGTGTGACCTTTTCTATGCTGGCACTTCTCTTCTCTCTCTCTCTCTCTCTCTCTCTCTCTCTCTCTCTCTCTCTCTCTCTCTCTCTCTCTCTCTCTCTCTCTCTCTCTCTCTCTCTCTCTCTCTCTCTCTCTCTCTCTCCTCTCTCTCTCCCTCTCTCTCTCCTCTCTCTCTCCCTCTTCTCTCTCTCTCTCTCTCTCTCTCTCTCTCCTCTCTCTCTCTCTCCTCTCTCTCTCTCTCTCTCTCTCTCTCTCCTCCCTCTCTCTCCCTCCCTCTCCTCTCCTCCCTCCCTCCCTCTCTCTCTCCTCCCCCTCTCTCCTCTCCTCTCTCTCCTCTCTCCTCTCTCTCTCCTCTCTCTCCTCTCTCTCTCTCTCTCTCTCTCTCTCTCTCTCTCTCTCTCTCTCTCTCTCTCTCTCTCTCTCTCTCTCTCTCTCTCTCTCTCTCTCTCTCTCTCTCTCTCTCTCTCTCTCTCTCTCTCTCTCCTCACCTCTCTCTCTCTCCCCTCCCCTCTCTCTCCCCTCCCTCTCTCTCTCCTCTCCCTCTCCCTCTCTCTCTCTCCCTCTCCTTCTCTCTCTCCTCTTCTCTCTCTCTCTCTCCCTCTCTCTCTCTCTCTCTCTCTCTCTCTCTCTCTCTCTCTCTCTCTCTCTCTCTCTCTCTCTCTCTCTCTCTCTCTCTCTCTCTCTCTCTCTCTCTCTCTCTTTCTATTCTTTTTCTAATTCGTCGTGTTCATAGGTGATAAGTCTGTTTATACATGAATTTCCGTTGTTGCCGAATATTTTCTTCTACTTACTGACCATTCACTCATTCACACTCTCATACATTACGTGTTATGCATTTTGTATTTTGCTGCTGCATTATCATTATGGAGGTACAGACGGATTAACATATTTGATGAATTTAATACACACACACACACACACACACACACACACACACACACACACACACACACACACACACACACACACACACACACACATTTGTGCATGTATATATATATATATATATATATATATATATATATATATATATATATATATATATATATATATATAATATATATATATATATATATGCATATAGATAGACAGCCAGATAGATAGATATGTGTATGTGTGTGTCGATATACGTATATATGTCTGTGTACCCACACCTGTTCTCACGTGCGCCCCTTCCTCCACAGGCGCCATGGTGGGCTCGGTCACGCGCTGGGAGCCTGGCGTGGGGGGGGACCAGCAACACCTCGCCGTGACGGACCACGTGGCTGGCCTGGACCCGCCCATCATCCCGCTCTCGCTGCCCACACTGCCACGCCCCCTGCCTAGTCACGCCCACACACCCCGACCCGCAGAGGATCTCGACGAAAGCGTCGAGGAAACGCCGTGTCTGGAGGAGCACCGACGCGGGCGTGAGCG